CAGGATGAAGACGTGGACGTGAGGGCCCCTCTGGCTGACGAGGCCCAGACTGGCCTCCTTGCTTTGTAACCCTCGACCCTGAATTGTCATTATTCAAGGCCCCAGGGAAGGCTGGACACAGCCGCCAGACTGAGGCTCAGCCCTCCCCGTGACCACACAGGGAGCCTGCTTACCTTGCCTAAGAGCGAAATGAGGTCACAAAACCAGCCTATAAAGAAATGCGCTTGAAACCAGACCTCAGCCCCCAAATCTGTGGTGGCCCCTGGACCACCAAGCACAAACGCCCAGCATCTGGAGCTGGGAATCAAAACACAAGGGGCTTAACCTCCCACCTCAGCTCCTGCACGTGCAAATCTAGCAGAGGGAGGCTCCATGCTGTGACCACGGCCTCGCACGTACCCGAAGGCCTCGCAGCGCTTCTGGTAGACATCCACCTGGTGCTGCAGCGGGGCTGGGTCACTCTGGCCCAGCCGGTTGATGTCAAGAATGGCCACGAGGTTGTCCAGCTTGTAGAATCCGGCGAAAGCCATGGCCTCCCACACGGAGCCCTCCGACAGCTCCCCGTCTCCCAGCATGCAGTAGACCCGGTAGCTGCGGACACAGGGCAGGTTGGAAGTGGGTCCTGCTACCTGGGCCCTGCCCTTCCCAAGGAGCCTGCCCTCTGGGGTAAGGAGGGACTCCATGCGGGTGTGCAGAACAGGGAGCATTTACACAAGGGGCGATAGCATCATCGGGTCCCTGCTACACCCTCACGTCCACACCCTGAGTGGAAGCGGCTGTGAAGGAAGCCATCAGGAACCCCAGAAGTGTTGGCTGCTGGAAAACGGAACTCTGAGACCACAGGGACCTGGCCAGGGAGATCTAGGACATGGAGTGGACAGGGTAAGAGGAAGACAAGGATGAGGGGGTGAAGAGCTACCTGTGCTGGAGTTAGTGAGAGTTAGTTAGAGCAGTTAGTGTAATGGCTATGTTGCTAGACTCCCATGTAGTCGACCGCGGTTCGCGTCCCGGACCCGGTGGCTTAAACTCATGCCAGGCGTGTGTGCGTGCGTGCCCAAGATCCTGAGAGGAGAATGGAGGAGCAGGGATTGCAGCGTGGCCATCCCCTTGAGGGGTGGGGTGGGGAGATTTCTCGCTTTCTGTCTGTTTAGTGAGCACATGCGCCCTCTAGCAAAAACCTCTCCAAAACAAACAAACAAAAAGAGCTACCTGTGCTGGGTAGGAATGCTGTGAGCCACCTGCTGCAGGGAATCCCCATGACCAGGAGTGCTGGAGGAGTCAAGGAGTTTTGGGGTCTTGCTGGGGGCCATAGGAAACGGGGACCCTGAGAACCACGCTCAGCTCCTGCTGGAAGGAGCTAGGCTGGGAGGCCACCATGCAAGCCAGGCAGCATCCCAGGGCAAGAGGCTTCGGGAGTAAGAATGACGGCCACAGAGGGACCCTGTAGACGAGGGGGACCTGGGCCCTCACAGGACGGGCTCTCTCCATGGCTCCAAGGCTGGTTCTAGCCCCGCAGACTGGAACTGGGCCTGGCCCTTTCTCTACTCTGGGGCCTGCTCCTCCCCCAGCAGACAACGTGACAGGATAGACTACCCAGCAGACAGAACTGCCCCTGGCCCCAGCTAAGGGCGAGGACTGAGGACGAGGTTACAGGCAGGGAGACCAGTTCAGGGACCCTAGTCCCAGGAGATGTGGGTGGAGGGATAGGAGGGAGTGTGACAGCAACCAGCACAGAAAGTCACTGTTTCACAGGGCCTGCCTATGGCGCCCTGGGGCCCTGAGGGGAAGGCAGGCCCTGTGCTGAGCAGCCCTTTCCTCAAGGTTCGAGGTACGTCCATTCCCACAACACAAGGATGCTGATTGAGAGTGGTCAAGGTACTCGCACTGCCAGGAAGTAACTGACCTGGGATTTATTATTTTATTGCCGGAGGGTACATGCACTTGCCAGAGAAAGAGAAAGAAAGAGGGAGAAAGCATCTTCCCCGCCCTCCAGCGGGGCATGGGTGTCACAATTCCTTCTCAACTTCCTGCCAGTTTGGGAACATGTCCCTGCACATGGCCAAGCCACCAGGGCCAGGGTTTCAACAGTGGTTGGCCGTGTGGGATCCAGTTCCCTTGACCACTAAGCTACAGGCCTGTCCTGAGGTGGGATTTAAACACTGGCCTGACTGCAGCCTAGAAAGCCCTCCTTGCTGAGCGTTCCAAGCGCAGGGGGACTTGGCTGCCTGCTGTCCAGCTGTGTGGTCCTGGAAGCCTGGCTGGGCTCAGAGGGACACAGCTGCGTCTTCTCCTGCAGGAAATGGCCCTAGGCCCGGCTGCAGCCCAGCAGTCCAGCCTCGGCTCACAGTGCCACAGGGCCAGGGCAAGGGAAGGAGGAAGGGGCTGGGGCAGACAGCCGAGCTGTCAGCATGACTCAGCATGTGAGCGGGCAGCGTGTGGGAGGGCTCTGCCTGCAGCCTGGAGCTCTGCTGCTGGTGCCTGGCCACAGGGACAAGATCTCAGGGCCCCCACTGCAAAAACCCGACAGGACCTGGGCCTGTCCCACAGCTTGTATCCCGAGGCTCTAAGGGGCCCCGGCAGAGAGGCCTGTAGGGAGCTCAGCTTCCCCAGAAAGAGGTCCCAGGGATGCAGCCTGGCTGCTGCCCCAGCCCACACCCACTTCCAGGGAAGTCTGGAGGAGATGGCGAGCAGAATCCCAGCATAACCTCAGGCTCTGAACCGAGGGACAGGGCTGGCCGTGGGGCCGACAGCTCAGGTCAGGAGCTCGGGGTCTGGAGGAGACACCAGATAAGACTTGTGACTAGGAAAGGGGCCCCACAGAGGCCCGGGCTAACCCAAGGCTTTGTGTTGCCCAAGCTTAGATTTAGGACTGGGGGACCTGGCCCTAAATGCCTAGTCATGAACTAAAATGAAAGAAGAGACCCTGAGGGCTGGCCAATGGCATGGAGGTAAGGTCGCTGGATCCCATACGGGTGACTGGTCAGCTCGAGGCCCAGACCCGGCAGCATGCAAAACACCAGCGTGTGTGTGCGTGTGTCTGTATGTGTGAGCACACATGCCTAACATCCTGAGAGGAGAGTGAAGAGGGATTGTGGTGTGCCCCCGTCGGCCCCAAGGAGGTGCTCTCTCACTTTCCCTCTCTGGAGAGCACATGTGCCCTATGCATGTTAAGGAAGGAAGGAAGGGAAAAAAAGGAGAGGGACCCTAAATGCAAGGTCAACCTACGAAAACGCCTGGAATGTTCAAGCAGAGGACTGGCTAACGGTCCCGGATGTCCCAGAACAGAACATCACGGCTTCATTACACTGGCCCTTGACAGTTAACGACAGGATGTTTTGATTTTTTAAAAAGGCAGAATATAGGGGCCAGCAGGTGACCTAGTGGTGAAGGCGCTGGACTCCTACGTGGCCAACTGTGGTTTGAGTCCTGGACTTGGCACCTTGCTTTCTCACTTTCCCTCTTTCTCTCTGGTCAAACTGAAAAATGGCCTGCTCTATCAGGATGCCACCCCCGGGTGTCTGGTCCAGCCTGATAAATTTGGTGCCCTGGCCTCCCACCCCAGGTACAGTCCAAGGGTCTGGGCCTCGGCCAACTCCCGGCCCCAAGCCACCTTGCCTCTGGGAACGCAGCTAAACCCCGTCTCCCTACACTGGCTTGTCCCATTGTGTCAGGGTCAGGATCTGACCCTTTACAGGGAATTATTTCAAGCAACTGTAGGGAATAATTAACTCACAGCCCTGGCTCTGAGCCAGATCCAATGCCTTAAGCACACATTCAGTATCTGACTCCCTCTTCACCCCACAGTGAATCACTTCTGGGTGTAGCTGGGCCTGCCCCAGAGCTCAGCAGGGGCTGACAGTGAACACTACACTGACAGCTGACCCTGGCCTGCTGGGGCAGGCAGGGCCCACAGCCACCCTTGCCCCCCAACTCACCTGCCAGCCCCACAGCAGCCTTGGGCTTTCTGGCCTCCTGTAGGCCTGGCCCTGCCAACCTCCACCTCGACCCACAGAATTTCCACCAGAGCATCCCTTGGGGCCTCGAGGGACAGCCTGGGGACCCTGAATATGGAGTCCACACAGCCTGTGTCCAGACCCTGCTCCCACTGCTGAGCAAGGCCCTAGGCAGCACCCTACCTCAGGTTCTCATCTGTAAAAGGGTAACCAACTCATGCTACCTCACAGCTCACAGGGGGCTTAGCACAGGGCCAGGCCCCAAGGACGGAAGAATGAAGTGTACTACAGTGTTTTTTTTTTGTTTTGTTTTTTTTTTAAGAGAGATTTGCTATAGGGTGTATGCTCACAGGAGAGACAGACATAAAGCGAGAAATCACCCTCCAGGGGGATGGCCATGTTACAGTCCCTTCCCCTCCATTCTCCTCTTGGGATCTTGGGCATGCATGCACATGTGCCTGGCATGAGTTTTAACCCATCAAGTCTGGAACTTGAAATGCGATCGACTACATGGGAGTCCAGTGACACAGCTGTTACACCATCTGCTGGTTCCACTGCAGTGGTTTTAATAGCTCCCACAGGCCAAATGCAGCCACAGTGGACAGCCTCTGGCTACAATCTCCTGGCTGAAGAGGGTTCTCCTAGAACTATGGGGTGCCAGATCGGCAGACCCGTCAGGCCACTCCCCACCCTCCACGGGTGTAATCTCCCTAACATTTGTTTCTTCCACAGCTCAGGGTGCCCCAGAACCCTCTAGAGCAAACAACCCTCTCCTTTCCCAAGATAAGGGCAGTGGTTCTGGGTTGGATTCTTGGTGCTTAGTCAGACAGGAGGGAGCCTTCTGAGACTCCTGGGCCCAGGCACTGGGCTGGGGTTAACGCAACAACTCCCCAGCCAGAGCACGTGGGCAGAGCACCAGCGAGGAGCGTGTGCTTGGGTGCCACCCTGGCCCCGCCAATCACTGCCAAGGGGCAGTGGGAGGTCTCTAACTCCTGAGTGTTTCCTCTATGAAGGCAAACAGGCCACTCAGGCAGGACATCAGCCCAGGCGAGGTGCCTGTAGGAAGTAGCGGTCAAGGACTAGGACCCAGCCCCAGACCAGGGTGCAGGCCGGAAGTGGGTGGGCATTACCTGGCTTTGTCGAAGTACTTGCCCGTGTAGGCCATCCCGCACGCCGCCCCGAGGCCCTGGCCCAGGGAGCCAGTGGCCACGTCGGTGAAAGCTTGTTTCTGTCACGACAGAGGGCCACAGTTACAGCAGAGAAGGGGCGGTGTGTCCACCGCCACCCAGGATCCTGGCCACACCCCTTCAAGACCTGGGGAGCCCCATTCCCTGCAGAAGGTTATGTGCTCATTCTCGTGTAGGTGTGAGTTCAAATCTCAGCTTTGCCGCCCAGCAAGCTATGTGACTTCAGGCTAGGGACTGAACCTCTCTGAGCCCCATAAAGTGGCTGGGAAAATTCATGACAAAAGTGAGGTAGCACGATCAGCCCCAGTGGGGGTCAGACTGCAGTGACACGTCCGTCCGTGGTCACTCAGGGCCTCACACATTCACAGGGATGCCAGCTGCACCGAGGTGCAAACTGAGTCCCTTCCCTAGGGTGTTACCGGCATGCTGTTGCCCCCTTACTGACTTCCCGAGCTACATCTGTGTGGTCAGTGGGTCCCGTGGGAGAGACACTTGAGAGGCTCCCCGAAACTGGCCCAGGGTGCCACTGGCTGAGGCACCAGCCTGGGGTGAGCATGATGTGCCAACACCCACTTCTCTCCTTCCTCGTGCAGTGTCCTCCTCTACTCCGCAGCACCTCCATCTGATCAGTGGGCATGCCGTCCCCCCTCCCCACGGGCCTGGGAGACAGAAACAGGAAACAGCAGAAGCCTGGGGGCCCCAGCAGGTGCCTTACCGGGACAGGGTGCCCGTCCAAGTCAGAGCTGATCTTCCTCAGGTTCAGCA